AGTTTAGAGAGTTAACCACAGGAGTTTTTAATGTAATCAGGGAGGAATGAGAGAAATAGAACTTGTGCAGGCCTAAAGGAAGTGGCTGGAGAATTAGGAGGTTTCTCTAATCGCTGTAAGACCAAGAGTTGGAAAACTTCTGATGACCAAATAAAAAACAAATGTTACAGATGGGAACAGAGTAACATGAGTTGACTCTACCCTGCCCATTCCTGCGATCTCTGAGAGGAGGCAAAGTGTGAGCAGTCGATTTTAGAAAAGCCTGACGAGAAACCGTTTCTCTTACTGTCCAGTAAATATGTAGACAAATAAATGATACAATTAGAAATGTTCACTACATAAATGGGTAATAGAGGCAGACACTCAGCTGCCATTTCGTATTTTCTGTTGATGTTACGCTGAATAGAAAGAAAACGACTGGGTGGATCACATTTGTTTTTGCCAAAACCCCTGCCTGACAAGTGATACTTCAGTAACCTTGGCACAGTGAGAGAAGGTCGGCTAGGATTACCAGCCAAACCCGAAGCTATGAGGAGTTTTATAAAGATTGATATCAGTGTGACTTCTTCGCTAACGGCTTAACTCACGTTAGCCTCCTAAGTATTCATCCAAGGCTGAACCTCTACAGGTTCAACAAAGCCCCTCTTATACGAACCCAACAAAGACATGTATTGTGAGGTGCTGCAAGAAACAGCTGACTTTCCTGGTGGGTGACTAGCGGACAGGCAGACTGTAATGCAGTTGTTGTTGTTTTTTTTACACAGTTGACAGATCTGCTCTAGAACAAAGGCATTAGAGGAGGTAATGAAAAAAGCAGGGTTATGTAACAATATTTTAATGTACCCCACCCTGCTTATGGACTGGCCTGAGTATTTTCACATTTGGACTGGAGTTTTGTCATGTATGGCGAAGAGCAAATCAACTCACTTTTAGCAAGACGAAATCACTTCTGTGTGGCAGTAGTGTTGTTTCTCTGCTAACTGGTGTAGCCTCAAAGACACAGCTTAAAATGCACCATCTACATTATAAGGTATTAGTTTAATAGTCATTCACTCTGAATAGCAAGTATGGTGCAAAAAAGTCAAATTAAGGCTAAATCACATGTGTAAAACCACTATTAGTTCTCAAGTGTTTCTGCTTTTTTGGAGAGATTATTACTTGTAGCATCTGAACTTCTCATGTTAAACCCTTCAGACAAAGGAAGATTAAGTACATCTGCTGTCAGAATTCCTCTAACCTCCATGCCAACTTCAGTCTACTTCATTTATTTGCTCCAAGGACAAGCTGATGTGTCAAGCTAGTGTCCAATGAGCCATTTTATTATTTAAATCCTGACTGCCCCCTCCCACTCTCCCACTGGATGTACGTATACTCCCATTTACACCGCACTTGGCAGCAGCCTGTTGTTTTTGCTGGGGAGGAAAAGAACAGTACAGCCCTGGTAAAAAAAAAAAAAAAAAATCTCTTTCAGACAAATTTCCCTCTCCCTGAAACTCCTAGGAGAGGTGGAGGAATGGATGGTGCCAAGGGCTTCTTATTCTGCATGGAGGCGGTTTAAGAACAAGGAAAACCATATGGCGGTGAATCCAGGATCCAGAATAAGAGCAAGAGTTTTCAATAAATAGCTAGCCAATAGTATAAGTTGTTGGACCAAAACTGACTGAACCATTACATTTACTATAACGTCTGGTAGAGCACTGACAACACTAAGCTTACTAAAACAGTCACTTCATTTCTGATTAATTGATGGTCTGATGAGTCAGATCTGAAGAGTCTCCCTGCATCTGTGTTTTACGATATCAGAGCAAATATGAGCAGAAGAGCTTGACATGTGCCTAAAGAATATGGCATGCTTTTGTTCTTATATTGCTTATTGCTGAACATTAACTGCAACCTGAATTAACCCCTGGGCCTGAGAAAACAGCCTCAAGAACTGAAGTGCCCATTAGGAATGACTCAGCAAATCGCTTTCAGAGACAAAACAGAGTCCAATATCCACACTGGACAGACACTCAGCCCGACTCAGGACCCGTTTACAGACTCGGACTAGGCTCCATCCTGGACAAACTATTTTTCAATGGAAACTGACACTGAGAAAATAAGTAAAATGATTCAGGAATAATCTTATTTTATGTCTGTTAGTGGCTCACATACAGTGCATTGTAATTGAACCCTGCTAACTCAAACACTCTGTGAGGAAAGCCCCCATTCCTTGGTATGGCTTGTTGAAACACGCAACTGAAGCGAGGCGCCACCACACACTGAGATGTACACCTTCAGTATATAAACTTCACATAAACCTCTTATTTATCTGCATGACATCAGATCACACAAATCAAAACTCCAAAGAAGCAGTTTTGCCTCAGGCCTCCAAAATAAAGGTGAAATTATGAGTGAAGCAAGATGCCCATCAATTATGAGACACAAAAGTGAAGCGCATGCCATTCCAGATGGTTTTAAACTGCAACAGCCTCTTGACATGCCTGCTTTAGAGCTGAAAGTGACTTTTAAGTGGTGTAGAATGTTTGCATGTTTAATCTGTTGTGTCTCTTTCAACCTGCCACACAAGTGACTCAAAATCCCCCTTGTAAATTCAGCACCATGGCAAACAGTGAGACATGAAACCCTAACGAAGCCTCATCTGTACAACACAGGGAAAGTTTGCTGATGCATGTCTCGCAGGGCATAATTATACCCACAAGCATGGGTCAAAATGAGTTTTACATTTTTCAAAAGAGGGGTATTTTTCTCTTTTTTTCTGCCAGAGGCAGCCTAGGATTAGTGGTCAGCGTTTGATGATGCAACATGGACATGGCAGTCAAGCAAAAAAGCCAGTGCCACAGGTTTTAGGCCCACACCAGCCTCAAACAAAGACACCTACACAGCCCAGCAGCAGAGTGGGCGCTGCAGCCTCTCAGGCTTAACTGAGAGGGAACGTGCTAAAGCCAAGGGCGGGGAGTGGAAACGTCAGGTATTAGTTATGAAATATTGGACCAAACTCAACACAACTCAGTGTTCTGGCTTCAGCCCAAAACTAATCTAATGTATGTGAACCATGGATAGCTGGAGGTGTGTGTGAAGACTGTGTGTCAGAGTGTGCATGTGAGGGCTCCTGAATGTGACTGTGCAGACAGGCAGTGTTTCATATATATATATATATAAAATATGTACAATCCCTTGGTTTCTTTGCTCACATACTCTTTGGCCCGACTAAATGTGCCCATTTCCTGAGTAATTCCTGAGAGCAATTAGCAGTGCGGAGGAATTCGGCCCCTTACCAAACACCAGCAGCACGACTAGAGGCCCTATTATCCTCAACCCCTATAGAGATGCTGAAGGAGAGGGGTAGTGGGGGTTACAGGGGATTTTCAAAAGCTACTCATTAGCCTGTATATACTACTCTTGCTAAAAAGGAGCCCACTAACAGCTAGATTCTACCAGCAGAGTCATTTTGGTGACAGAAAGCAGAAATAGAAGTATTTGCTGGCTAATTGGTCTTTATCTGAAACTTAAAAATGAAAAATTTGTCCTGTCAGACTATTTCACTTGAAATCATTATATCATAGTATTACGGGAAGCTGCACACTTTCCAAGATGCTCTCTGACCACTTTTTGTCAGCCTACTTTTTCAGCCTAATGCTACACTAATAAGGCACGGCGCAGCCCACACATCTTGCAAAACTCCTGCAAATATTCTTTTACAGCTCTAACTCTACACAAGCGCTGAAAACGAATGGCTCAGGCCAAGGCACACTCTCTGTCTCTGGCCAAGGTCTCAACAATCATCATTACCGTCTGCACTCAGTCAGGCTGTGTGTTGAGTTACAGCCTTTCACAATCCTCTGAGGAAACCAGGGAATTTGGCACCAACTTTGCTCGAGGACAGGACAATCCAAATATTCAGTATCAACAAGCCTGCAACCCCTCATTATATTTTCCTTGGAAGGACAAGACAAGACACAGGCACGAAAAGAAAGGAGACACCCTAATAATGGCTGTTATTCTGATAGTGCTGCGGTCATCTCTGGTCATTATACTCGAGGGTGATGGTGTGTGGGAGTTGAAGTGATTATCACACCAGAAAAAAGGATGTCTTTTCATTTCAACTTTCATTTCTCTTTTGGCTGCTCTCATGAACTAAACAGCTGCCAATGGTAAAAGAAACCTGTCAAAATTTCTCGTGAGATGACTAAACCTTCTCAAAGCAATATAACAATTTATGAACATTTAACCTTGCGATATTGTGATGATGAGATGCTCAGCCTAATTCTCTTTACAATTAATGTTTGGATGTCTCAGCAGTGAGCAGCTGGAGTGAAGTGTGTGGAGAGCTTATCTTTTGTTCACAATGAAATTACACCAAAGTGTAAAGTTCAACTAATGCCTTTTATTGTAGCCAGAGAACAAGACATTTTTCAGGCAAATGCAAACAAAGTACCTGCAGATATGCACAAAGCATGAGGACAGTAGCTACCTTGCTTTTAATATTACTGTATGATCACTGGCTGGATTCCTTCTTGGCCTGCTTTGTGCCATTCATACATCTATATTCTGCATCTGGGTGGTCCTGGTTGAATTATTATAATGTTACTATTTCTCTCCATGTTGTAAGTCAGGATTAGACTTTGCATGGCACAGAGCTTTGACTTGGTTCAGACGCAAATTGCATGAATAAAAATACAAAATGCAGACAAAAGCCATTTCAGATATATGGAGTTCACATCTAGGACAACTCCAAGGTAAATTAGTGCAATCCCTGCCAAAGAGATATTGACCAACCAAGTTCAGAAAATTAGATTTAATTCTGCTTGTTGAAGCAATCACTTATGCAACATGTGGTTGTCCCATACTTAGTCCTCATTGACACCATGTCAAGTAGATGTTTTCTCTAATTAAACAAGCCCAAGTGTCTGACTCTATTGTGTTCAAGTTGATTTGTTGCTCTACAAGGCTGTGACTTTAAAATTGAGGTCTAGATGCACATTTAGTGACATATAAAAGAAGGAAAACTGTCCAAAAGAAATTTGTTCAGTCTGGAAATCATAACTATGTAAAGGCCTTTTCAAAACCTGCTTTTACAGTGATCTGAAAAAAAAAACTGGCTTTGTCTCTTCTCCTAGATACAACTTTGGACATTTGGTAGTTTTCCACAGTGTACACACAGTCCGTCATGACACACTGTTTTTACAAACAATGTGGAAAGGCTTATAGGGGCTACAATGCGATACTAATAATGTGATACCCACAGCAGTGAATAGATACTCCCCTAGCATTAGTATTAGTATCCTTGAGCCTAGCTGATGCATAGTTGGCCCGCTCGGTTGCAATGCGTCTGCTGTCTATTCAGTGTACTGAGGCGCAGCTTGGCAGTTCCAGCTCTCCAGAGACACACTGGAAGGCATTTCTACTTAAAATAAACCCTGCGCGCCCACGTCCAGCCTCGCAGCCCTGTCGGCCTTGCGCTGCTTGTCGGCTCACCAGCCCTTCCCCATTAATCCAATGCGTCGTTCCATTTATGCAGAAAGCATCCTATGGATGTGCCTGGGCAGGTGCTGGGGCATTTAAACCTTCTGCAACACATGCTTGTTTACTTAGACACATGCAAAACATGCAAAGACACAAAGGAAACACACAAATAAAGAATACACAAAGTTGCCCCTACATACTGGTGTACGAGCTGGAAAGCACGCATTTGCTATAGAGGAAAATACTGACCCTATGAACTTACAAGTCACATACCCACAGACATGCAGATGATTCCCCCCCACCCCCCACAATCATATTTCCCATTCCATGACTGCCCTTTAACCTTCAAGCCAACAAAGGCAGATGACTAAAACAACCGACCCCTGCCCTAGGTAGAATTACTGTTACACAGTAAAGTGTAAATCTTTTAAAAGACTCTGTTGTGGAAAAGGATGATATTTACTGGCTCATCACAACAACACAAGGAAAACAAACTATTGCTGTGGTGATCAGGAGGGAGTGCAATACTGGAGTTTATCTGGTAATACAAATTCATGTGAGGCTTACACACATGCACACACAAAGTCTCCCTCATCCAGTATCCAGAAAAATGCAGCAATACATATTGAGTATGTGCACTATGATGGGCCAAAACATATTACAAAAGAAGCCAATCTGGGCGTGCTTTCTTGGCTGTATTTGCATGATTCCAAATAAACTTCACACTTCATTTGCATCACTTAAGTTTCAAGGTGAACTAGCTGTGCCAAGACAGGTTTTTAGTGCAGCTAAGAGAGCATCTGTTTATTTTACTCTAAATCTGTTTTTAAATGCCCAAATACTTACTCAGACAAAACTTGTCAGTCGTCTTCTGTCAATGATGCAACTGTGTTTGGACGCTGTAGAAAGGTAGGATGTTTATTAGCAGTCAGTAGAAATAATAATAACCATATGAGTGAGTTGAAATGATTGAGTGACCAAAAAAAAAAAAAAAAATCACAATTCAGTGAGTTGCTTGAGTTATTTAGCAAGTAAAAGTACCAGTGACTCTCTCCAGCTAATAATAAATGGATGCATTAGTTGAAATTAAAATTCTGGCAATGTTAGCTTATTATAATTAGCTTATATCATGCAGATGTGTGCAACGTGTCGCCTTTTAAGTGAAAATTTGGACTGAGGTCGATGGACTGGATGAACCAGCCGATTATAGTTAGCAACAGCAGCGTAGACAAATGGCATCAATGTACATTTACACAAAGTTTAATTCTTTCCTCTGTAAAATTCCAAATCCTTGCAGACCGAGTGTATTTTTGGTGTATCGCACTAGCTTAGCTAACATTGAGTTACTTTGAAAACCCACAATGTATGGCAACATTAACATTACAGAACTGTCTTCGCAAGGCTAACCGACACTTCTTCTATTTAGCAAAAGTGAAATTAAAAGTCCCGAGATGAAAATACTACCAGTCTGACACAAGCTGGTGTGTAATAGCTAACAGGTCTGTAAATAACAAGCCGTAAACGCGACAGCTGCAACCTACGGCGGTTGTAACAACGTAAGTAACGTTAACGGCTGTGGCAACAAACTGACATCTGCGGCGAAAGCACGGGAAACTTTGAAAGTAACAAAACCTCAGACTTTTTTTTTACGACAAATAAGTGAAAATACACAGCTGTGTACTGGCATTAACAGACACCAAACTCCTGTAATAAAATTCAGTGCAGTCAGCCTTTACAACGTGGTGAGAAAACTGCAAGAAAATGTGCAAATATGTAAAGCCCTTGCCAACATTAAGCTAACTACTAGCACAAAAAACAAAGAGGGAGAAAAGACACACAGACTTGCCTGTTGTGCGTCCAAAATCCGCTCTAATAAAAGCACGGTTTGGGACTTAGGATGTAGGTTCTGCGACTAGCTGAAGTCGTTGCATCAGCCCCGTTTAAGTACGCTACTGATCTTGTCTGTGAGGGCTGAGGAATGCGGAACTGCGGCCCAAGACGTAAGCGAGGATGAAAATAATGTCAGCCACGGTCTGGAGACAGAGGTTTGTTTGCTCCACCCCTGGCAACCAAAAAACATACACTGAGGGGAGGAAAGTTTCAGCTGAGGGACACCAGCGACAGACGTGGGGAAGCACATACACACAGCCATAAACGCGTCGGTAAATAAAATGATGGCTATTAACACACATCCTCTTATCTTAACGGCGGGTGTTTTACTATTTCGTGGAGGTCTTGGGAGCAAAATGATTCATAACAATATCAGTCTAGACTTTAGTATTTATAGTTTTTAATGCATTATTGAAAAAATTGTCAAAATCAAGTCTGACAGATTTTTTTGATTTTTTTGTTTGTTTGTTTGTTTTTGTTATAAAGCATTAAAGGTGCATTAACTGAGATCTACTACTGTCTCTTTGCTGTAAATTATACCCCCCTCAATGACAGCTGACTGTCTACATTCCAGCTTCTGTACCCTGTGTTGTCAAAATATGGTTCTTGCATTAGCTCCACCTGCCAGCAAAAGTTATAAGAAGTGTTGTTGTTGTGGTTTTTTTTTTTTTTTGTTTGTTTGTTTGGGGGGGTTTTCCCCGCAAGTAGTCATTTGGAACAGCCAGCCATGTGGAAGAGCTGTTGGCAACTAGAAGTCCAAAGCAGTGCCTGCCAACTGAGGGCATGTTGTTTAGCACAGAGAGTGGGACAAAGACCAAAAATCAGGATTAATGCTGTTTTAGCTATTTGAGATGGAGAATGTTTAAAGCAGCCAAAGGACTCAAATTTGATTGAGGTGTGGTGTTCTTCCTTCTTTAGATGCGTTAACATCTAAAGCTAATGTGTTTATTTTGGTAACATTGTGACCTAGCATGATCATGATTTTACATTTGCATTGAATTAGTATGACTTTAATTTGGGAGTAGTTGTGTGACATTAGTAGTAACTAGAGTGTTTTGCTGGACTGACAAATTTTCTCATTAGTCAGCTAATGCCAGCTTTGGACTGGAGGCTGCACTTTGTACAGTTTGTCACAACCAGGCATCCATAGTTTGTCGTCACTAGGAAACAGACCCTATAGCGGCTGAAGATAAATTAGGTAGAGTGTCTTTAATGGATGGCACTGTTCCAAATATTTTTGACTTGTCAAGAGGTGAGAGTATCACTTTAATGTTGTATTATATAACCTGTTTGTTTAGTTCTGGTGCTCTTCTGTTCATGTGCATATGTTTTAGCTGTGACCTGCCAGCTGTCAAGGGACCGCAAATAAAAATTTAAGATAGTTCACAAGGAAGAGGTAAAACTAGTGAAAAGTCGGGGGTGCAATTTTGTGCAACAGAAGTATCTAATTTTCTTTTTCTATTAATCTTTTAGTGACCCCAGGGCTAGGAGCCTCTCATATGGATTCATGCTGGGACTTTACCCTGCAGTGCATGCTTTTATTTATTATTAAAGTGAAATTACATTACAATACCACAGATCAGATTATTTGTGAGTATTTAAACAAGAGGAAGGATGTGGCTCAGGGACAGATTTCTTTTAGACAGTCTTTAACACTTAAACCTAAGAATTTTCATTCATTTCACCTTAATTGTTTTTCATCCTGTACCCCACAGTCGTTTGGCCCTCAGGTGCCCTCAGACAAATTCTCCTGTGCACCTTGTAATATATCTCAGCTTTTACACAATGCTCTCTCAACTGTTCCACCTAGAACAAGCATCTGAGTTATTAAGGGCTCCCCAAAATACACCACTATGTGCCTTTTTTTAGATTCTAATTTGGTTTTGCTGCTGTGATTTATGTCTTGCATCTGAGAGGGCAGGTCAGAGGAGACGGTGCGTCACAGTCATTCTTAACATAGATGACAATTTTTAAGGCAACGTATTTGGCATGAACAAAGCAGAACTGAACCAACAAGCAGACAGATTTCATAAAACAGGAAGGCCCTGCATCAGTGATTAAGACAACACGGTGGTTTTCCCTTTCGGGGGTGTAGACTTTTGATTGAATTCCTTAGTGTAAATAACATTGTTTGAGTTTTAAAACTCATAGTTCCTTTGCCTGTTTGAAAGTTCAGAAACATATCTCAGCATATCTCTAGATGCTTATGAAAGACTGAAACAGACAATAGAGTAAGTGCATTAAAACATCACCTTGGGTGAACCTCCCAGCAGCAGCTGCCCAAATGGTATGGAAAGGGTGCATATTGTGGCTTTGCAGCTTTGCCAAATATATGCAGCGTTTGCTGTGTGGGTGACAGAAATCAAGGTAAAAACAATGTAACACTGTTTTCCATTATTTTAATAACTCATTTAGACATTTACACTTTCTGAAAACATTTGAGCTAAAACATGACCATTATTTTCCTACTCAAATGTGTAAACAAGCCAGTCATATTTTCTTATCTTCTACAAGGGATTAACCTGGTTAAAATCTGTAAGATAAAAAGAAAAAGGTTTTGGCATAATAATATCCAACAACATCTTTAGGAAATACCCAGCAAACCAGACACAGTCCTGATTCATCATCCACCACACTGCAGATATTATAGAAAAACCTTTTTTTTTTACAAACACTCCATTTAATTTTCTTCCTTGCTTCCTCTTTTCTTTTTTCCAAATCATCTCACACAGTTGTAGATCACGTCAAAATACATTTTGGGAATTAAACTGGGAAATGTCATGCTACAACAGAATTACACTTCTCCTTTTTTAACTTCAAGGCTTTAGGAGTAAATGGCAATTCTTATTTTTGTTAGTTCCAAACTTCTTCAGTGATATCCTCTGATTCTGTCATATTTGCAGATCAAATCCATACACATGGCAAATACAATCTGTTTCTTTTTAATGGATTGAACTGACTTTAAACCCTCCTCCTCCTTTTCTCGCAACAACAGGTTGCCAGCTGTCATATGCTTGAACTGCTTTCCCCCCACTGATCCTGTTTCCATTTGAGTAAAAGCTTCCAGTGTTATTGTATTAGTGCTGTGAGACATGGATTCACCATTTGATGTTCATCCACAGTATTAAGTAGGATCAGAGTCTATAAAAAGTACACAAAGACATGAAATCTTTGTGGCTGAATACATGCAACTTGAAATGGAACATCAAATGAGTCATTTCAAAATAAAATACCCACTTAGCACAAGATCTTTTTCCTTTGAAGGTGCCATCTCCAGATAGTCTGGTTTGAGTACATTTCATGTACAAATCAGCACCGTCTCTACTGCTGGTCCAAGGTTGTTTTCTAATAGGCTTACTCATGTTGAAGTGACCATGCCTTCCCAAAACTGTATGAATTGATTTATCCTTATAAATATAGCACTTCCTTTGGAATATCACAGCAATCAGGAAACAGTAGTCAGGAGGTGTATGAGGGTGTAATAACAGAGGTGGAAACAGTGAGCACACAACAGATAATAGAAGGACAGATATCTGATAAACAGACAGTGTGAGACATTTCAGGTTGCTGATGTTGTTAGGACTCGGTCTGAAACATTACTGTAGTGAACAAGAAGGCCTCCCTTTAAACTTCTTTAAGTTTTATATTTGTTAGGTCAATTTCTAACAAAGCACAATTCATATTAGTTCAGGGTGGAACAAATATGAAAATGTACATAAAAACAGTTACTGCATATAGGCTACGGCACATGTAGTATAGAGAGTGTCAGTATACAAATCTGCACAAACCTTTGAAAAACTAACAAAGCAGTGTGAGCATTAAGATCTTAAAATGGAAAAAATGAGCTTACAGTTGTGCAGTTAGTCCATAAAGGCTAAATGCAGATTTCAGATCCCGTAATCATACTATTAGCAAGTGAAACCCTCATCGACTATTTTTAGTTCCAAAAGAAATTCACACTGAATTAAAAAAACAAGCTCTCCCTACAAAGGGTAACTAATAGAGTATTTTCACTAAAAAATATTTTGACATGTCACTGTAGGAACATTACTTTTTGTATAAAGACAAGTCAATCATTTTGATAGTGTGTTTTCAGGTTTAATATACAAAGGTTTGGACACAGTGTGGTTGTGTAGTGAAAAATGTACTGAAATTGAAGTATCAGAAAATGAAATGACTCAATGTATAGATACCTCAAAATACTTAGCCTACTGTATTTTCTACCACTGAGCACAGGATACATGCCTTTACTTGTTGATGATTGCTATTTGTGGAGTTGGGACTATGTTTATGTTAAAAGAGAGCCCCCCCCCACCCCACCCCACACAAAAAAGCTGCAGTAAGTATGAAACCCAGATATTTGTGCAACACTAGCTGGGTTACACACAGAGAAGCTCTGTTACTTAGTGCTCCTATAGCTCGCTTTGTAGCTCCCCCTACTGATGACAGGACTGTACCTCTGACATATCTACACAGACATGGACATATTTGTTGTAAAACCTGTAACAAAGGTTTTCTATGTAAGTTTAAAACACTGTAATATGGTTATATTAAGTGCATCATCTCCGTGTTATACTGCATGCCCAGAAACGTATGCTCATTAAAGACTAAAACCAAACAGTCCTGTGCTAATTAAATACACAATTTGCTGTTCATAGAAAGACTATGGCAAAGTTAAATTACTTATTAGACTAATTATCATCATGCACGTGATGCAGACTGTAAGAAAGGTTCGTCTGTTTACGCTCCACAACAGTCCTGCTCGCTCCTGCCTCGACTTTTTCCGGTAACTCGCTCCACTACCGTGCCGAAACATGACACTCGTTGCTATGGAAACAAAACAACTGCAGTTACCCAAATATGGTCAAGGGAAGTGACACGATATGGCAATCGCGGGTTGACGTCATGCATATAGCACTCACTGTGCTGCTGTAGAAGCGGATTCCCTTGACCGTGGAAATAGTGGAGCTGAGAACGCGCTATGAATAAATAATTAACCTGCTTTTTGTTCTGCTCCCACTCACTTTAAACACGACTCAGTCCCCAATGCAGGTATTTTATATAATACAGAAACCAAAAATAGGCACACTGACATCTGAATGGACTGATAGAGAGCCTAAATATTAATATTCCACGTTCATTATTGACTCAATTCTTTTTAGAAGGTTTTCTAAAGTATGTCTCATCCGCTTTATCAGCAGGTGGGCAACTATTCAGATTTCTGTTTTTGAGCTCTTCTCGTTTATGATGGCTTAAGAATTCAAATTCATTCTCGACCTTGAAAACCGAAGATCTGACCTCATCATAAAGTTTATTTAGTATCTATTTTTGAGCTTTAAGATGAGAAATGCTTTTTTTTTAAGAAAGGAACTTTCACTATAAGATTCATTTAATAGCTGTTCTTTGGCCTATCTTTCAGTTCACACGTCTGGTTATTATAGTTTCCTTTTTTCTGAGCATTTTAAATGCTTCTCAATCAGCTTGTCTCTTCTTCTGCCTTGGAACATCATGTATTATGACTGAAAGCTTCAACAGCTACTAAATGTAAGTTCTGAGGATGTTTTTTTCACATTTGTCACCCTGACTGAATAACGGTAAAACATTGTTTTGGTTGCCATATTTTATTTCCCTTGTTATACTTTTCAGTTGATATTTTTTGATAAGTAAAAAAATAAACTATGTCATAAAATACATCTTGATAAAATACATGACTTTTTTTCATGGAAATTTTGAACACGATATTACTATATGCTACACGACTCTTCTATTTTTACTTGTTACAACACAGTTATGTCAAAGGTATCACACAGGCTACTGAACATGATATAAATTCACATGAAGTTTAGAGATTTCATAAACACAAGATATCACTTCCCAAATTACAGATAACTTGTATTTGCATGCATATTTAATTACCAGTACAAAGTCGCATCTCCAGCAGAACTGCACTGGCAGGATGGAAGATGCAAACCCTGTTACAGTCACAGAAAGTATGTCATCTACACGACCATCTACACATCAAAACTCACATTACAAAATATTATTTGAGAGAGATTATAGCTTGCTGGTTGGTTAGAATACAATTACAGTATCACTGCATAACCTCTTTGCATTCACAAGGCCAAAAGTGTTGGAGAGTTAAGATCTTTCATTAACTCGGATGCACCAAGGCTGCCTTTCAAGCTTTCACAGCTCTCAGCTAAGGAATCAATCTCTGGGTGATTAAAGGAAAATACTGTATGGTAATTGCTACAAGTGGGACTGGAAGACATGTCTGGTGTGCTCAAACATTCAAGGTCATTCGCCACAGACTTGTACAGAGTTTCCCAGTCTGAGAGGCAGAAGGGACTGCTCAGGTCTATGTCAGGGACTGATGCAGGTGTCTCAGAGGTCACTGCCATCTCTAGGCTTGGCACCAAGTCATCCAGGTCATCTCCTGTGAAGTCCTCCAGAGCCTCCTCTTCAGCACTCGAACACAGGAAGATGTTGGAGTTCCCTAAAATGGCTGCAGCTGGAATGCAAGGGACATTGTCCATGTCTTGACCACTAGGGGCTTCTCCAGTTGTTGTCGGGCTCTCTGGGTTTTTTCCATTCTCTAAGATGGACAGCAGCTGCAGGGAGGCTGGAGGATCCTGCAGCATTGTGTTAACATTATCTTCATTATCCTCCTCAGCATCAGCATCCTTTACAGGGAGTTTGCAAGATGGTTTGTGGGAGACTAAGACCTGCTCCAGTTTCTCCTTCTCCTTCAGCAGGTCATCTATCTCTGTCTGGAGCGCAGACTTCTCTTGTTCAAGCTTGTCAGTTTCCTGAGGTGAGGAGGGACAAAATCAGAAAGAAAGACAACATGAGGGAAACATGAAAGCATTGTTGCCCTATTGTGCTCTGCAGTCTGAACTCTGCATGTCTTTAACTAGTGACATGTCATACAGCACTTTATACGCCCTCAGCTTTGTGTCAGTGTTCTCTATATGTTCTCATAAAAGAGGATACTTACAGTCTGGAGAGTGTCTATCAGCTCCCTCCGTCTGTTACGACATTTTGCTGCAGCAATTTTATTTCTCTCCCTCCTGATCCTCCTCCTTTCCTCCTCCTCTGTGGAGGGCTAGAATCATGCAGAAATAGTCCATTTTAATTCACAGCCTGCCTAATCAGCACTTGGCTCTTAAACACCCTTTTACTTGGAAAATATATTGCATTGTATGCTGGGAAATACTGATCTGGTCGGTGCAGACTTTCAGTTCCAAGCGTTAAAATGGTGCACCGCTGGCACGGTCTAGCTGGGCACGTGAACGCGCATTGTGATGCAATTCCTCGTCCCATTCATAAACAGTGCTGTGCACGTTACTCCAAAAGTAATCACTGGCTGCGCTAATAAGATACCATCCCACCACCTTATCATGCAGTAATGTATTTAGCGTTACACTACTCACTGCGTTAATTGTTTATTTAACAGTAAAAACAATTTATTTCTCTTTCATGGTCTGCTTACAATATCGCGATACCCTTATTTTCATATTAACCTCCACAAATCTATCCTACACATCGATGTGAAAAGAAAAAGATAAGGAAAATAAATAAAACAATTAATAAAAAAATTGGGAAAATAATAGACTCTGCATGCTAAAATGATTGATTGATTGATTGATTGATTGATTGACAGGCTACCTGCCTAACGTAATTTCTTCATCATTCTTGCATACCTGCTCTCTCTGCCCTTTCCTGTTGGAGGGCTTCGACTTGTTTGCACCTGCAGGGGAAGAAGACTGCTTAGCGCCGCGAGCTTTGGTCTTGGTACGAACGGACGACGGACAGACAGACGTGATGGCCGTCGGTTGCACCATCCACCTTAGATCCGGCGAGGCTGAGATTGTAGTCACAGTCGGAGCAAAAGATTCCCCTGCACTGGTCTCAATATCCTGAAAGATCCACGTCACAGAAACATGCATATGCATGCAGTCAAACATTAATTTTGCTTATCTGATGAATGAGCATCCACGTTCATGCCTGACCTTTAGATGTTGGCTGATAGCTACTGAGGGATGCCAAGCAAAGACAAAACCTATCCAGCCATCAAAATCAGCTACATGTAATCAAAGTCATTTCACTCATTTTAATCATCATCACCATCACAGGCAGCCTTTATAATGAAAGGTCACAAGACATGATTTTTTTTTAAAGTAGCGTACGTTGCAAACAATTTCCATGAATTAAGACTGAACATTTCTTGCGCTGTTGTTGCAGATGTGTTACAGATACATATTGCAGATGTGTTTGTAGATAATCATTGGCAGCATGGGACAGTAATCCTGTTAAAGAAAAGGC